TGTGTGTGTGTGTGTGTGTGTGTGTGTGTGTGTGTGTGTGTGTGTATGTTGGGACATGAGCTGTGTTCCATTCTTGCTATGTGGCCCCCCTGCCATTGGCACCAACTATGTGACTATGGGCAAATCCCTTAAATTCTCAATGGCTTCCTCATCTGTAAAATGGGGATAACATACCTGTAATACCTACTTCACAAGGTTTTTATGAGAATTAAAAGAGATAATGTACACAAAGTACTTTGCAAGCTTCACTGGAATTAGAATCATGTCTTCTGACTCCCAGGGAAGCAGTATTTTACCATATAACCCTGCCACTTGTAGTAAACTGAGGGAAAAGAAGGACTGGCCCAGGAAGGATAGAGAAAGAGCCATTAAACATGTGGAAGGGGAATAGACTTGGTCCATTTGGACCAAGCGGGAAGAGCCAGGAGGACTGAGCAGAAGATGAAAAGAAGCAAGTTTAGGCTCGATGTTGGGAAAACTTTCCCAATAATTAGAGCTATCCCAGAGTGCGACGGGCTGCTTTGGGAGGTTCTGTTTTTCCTCATTGGAAGACTTTGACCAGGCTGGATGGTCACTTACCAGGTATGTTGTAATGGAGGCCCTTCTCTGGCTATGGGTTACTCTAGATGTTACCAAGGTCTTTCCAACTCTAAGATTCAGCAATTCTGGTTTTGTTTTCACTCTTGTGCCCAGTTGCCACAAGATTCCTTTTTTTCTACCCAGAAAAGTCCCATCTTGTCCACCTCTCTTTATATCTAGCCCAGTGCTTATTCTAGATTCAAACATCTGGCTCATTTCCATGCTCTGTCACTTTGTACAAACCACATGTAAGAAGTGAGTTCTCTATCCTTTGAAGTCCCATAGCACTTTGACTGATCTTATATTGCCCTTCTACATCCTACCTTGTTTAAGAGCTATCTGTTTCTATGTCTTATTTCCCCTAGTAGACCACAAGCAAAGGCAAAGAAGACTCCATGAGGGCAAGAAACATGTCTTTATTATCTCTGAATGACCCATGGAGTCTCAGAAACTATGGATGGATAAGTGATACCACTGGGTGAATAAATAACGCACTACTAGATCACCTGGAATTGTCTCTCCTCTACTCCTCTTTCCAATCTCTCAGTCAGCCAACAAGGGAAGAAAAGGGGAAGGGAAGAAGCATTTATATAGTACCTACTATGTGCCAGTCACTGTGTTAAGCACTTTACAAATATCTCATTTGATCCTCACAACAACCCTGAAAGGTAAGGGTGATTATTGTCCTCATTTTATAGTTGAGGAAACTGTAGGCAAACAGAGGTTAAGTGACTTGCCCAGAGAATCATAGCAAGTAAGTGACTGAAGTTGAATTTGAACTCAGGTCTTCCTGACTGCAGGCCCACCTAGATGCCTCAGCATTTATTAAAACAAACAATTTTTAAGTCTTTACTATGCGCCAGGCAAGACAGCTAGATGGCACAATGTATAGAGTGCTGGGCCTGGAGTCAGGAAGACTGATCTTCTGTGTGACCCTGAGCAGGTCACTTCACTCTGATTGTCTCAGGTTCCTCATCTATAAAATGAGCTGGAGAAGGAAAGGGCAAACCGCTCCAGTATCTTTGCCAAGAAAAACCGCAAATGGGGTCATGAAGAATTGGACGCAACTAAAATGACTGAACGTGTGCCAGGCACTGATTGTATTAAGTGATAAGGGATACAAAGAAAGATAAAAACATGGTCCCTTCCTTCAAGGAATTCACATGATAATGAAGGAGACAATAACTATGAACATACAAGATATATAAAGTAAATAGAAGGGAATCTCAGAGCCAAGGCACTAGAAGTGGAGGAGAGCTTGGGGAGATGCACTGGGAAAGGCTTCTAGCAGAAGGCAGTTTTTCAGCTGAGTCTTGAAGGAGGCCAGAAGTTGGAGGTGAGGAGGGAGAGCATTCCAGACATGAGGAAGAACCAAGCATTTAGCATGCAATTGAGGGGTGGAATGTCATGTAAGAGAACTATGAGTAGGCCAATGTCAGTGGATTGTAGAGTATGTGGAGGGAGTGTAGTATAAGAAGACTGAAAAGTAAGAAGGGACCATAGTGTAAAGGGCTTTAAGTGCCAGAGAATTTTATATTTGGTCCTGGATGTACTATGGAGTCAATTGGAGTTTACTGAGTAAGGACATTACATGGTCAGACCTACGAGTTAGGGAAATGACTTTGGCAGCTGAGTGGATGATGGACTGGAGTGGAGAGAGACTTGAGACAGAGAGACCAAGATGAAGGCTACTGCAGTAGTCCAGACAAGAAGAAACCAGGTTCCCCACCTCTAGTCTACACCAAGGTGATAGCTGTGTGAGTAAGGTGAGAAAGGGATGCATAAAAGAGAGGCTGTGAAGGTGATGTGACAAGACCTGGTCACTGATTACATAAGTGGAACGAGTGCTAATGAGAAGTAGACGATGATACCTTTCCAAACTTATTAGTAAGTATTCACATTTATAGAATGTTTGAAAGTTTAAAAAACACTTTCCCCACAACAATCATATTAGGTTGGCAGTGTAGGTGTTAATATGTTCATTTTATAGATGAAGAAACTGAGGATCAGAGAAATAAGGTAACTTGCCTATGAACACACAACTAGTAAGTGTGAGAGTCAGGATAAAACCACAGTCTCCTAACTCCAAGCCCAGTGCTTTCTCAATTAGACCATGCTCATTCTTAAATACTTAACACCCCTCCATGATGCCTCCTGTGAATCACCCTACCTAGCCCTAATCCATTCATTACATTCTATCTCCTTATGATTTACACAGTTTATCCCTTTATTAGAGTCAGGTTTATTAGAATCTTTATTAGAATCAGGTTGTAGGTGAGCTCAAGATTATAGGGGGCACAAGTATGTATGCCATAGCATATTTCCAATAATGAACCAAGCACAGGAAGTTGCATAAGGCATGTATGATTCAGGAAATTTATGATCAGAAAAGAAGGTGAGTCAGCTGTATAACCAGAATAAGAGATAACAATGGATGGCTGGCCCATTGTGGCTACATTGGTACCCACAAAATGTCCAAGGACATAGAGGAAGCCATTTCATACTTGGAAATGGTTATCTGTAAAAGATCTTTGGGCAAATATGAAAAGGGATCCCAATGGATTACAAGACACAAATGAGTAATGATCTGCAGTGGTGGAAGCAATGCCTACATCACTGAAATCAGAGATCTACTTGAGTACTACCAGAAGACGATTAAAGATTATTAAAAGAATAACGTGTGTGTACAATATGTTTCTTTTTCTGTATCAAGCACGTACATTCATTATCTCATTTAATCCTCGCAACAACCCTTAGACAAGTACAAATAATAGTGTCATCCACATTTTTGAGATGAAAATGGGGGCCGGAGAGATTAGGTTATTCATTCCACAAAGCTAACGAGTGGTGGGGCCAGAACATGAACAGAGGCTATCTTGCTCTAATTCAGTGTTTCTCCCACTATACCAGGCTGCCTTTGAGCCACTTTGTTTTTAGGGTTTCCTCTGCACTCCCCAAATTACTCTATATGTACTTATTTAATCCAAACCAATCAGGGTTTATTAATACCCACTGGCTGTGTTCCTAACCTACAGGATGAGGGGGTTGTATTAGCTGACCTCTGAAGTCCCTTCTTGCTCTGACATTTGTGATTCAATGAGATGATGAAAACTAACATGCATCCCAAACCTTTCATGGACTTTCTCCTAGGTATGTCTATGCCCAATATTTTTGTGCTTTGTGAAGAAAGGTTTGGGGCATCACAGTGGCTTGCTTCACGGTTACCTTTGTTTTAAAAAGTAAAATAAAATAAAATAAAATTTGTTTGCCATCTTTAGTTTTTAGATTGCCTAAAATTTCCCCCTAGATCCTTCTCCTTCCTCCTCCCTGTATAACAAATAATATTTTTAAAGCAAATAAAAAGAGAAAAACAATCTGCAAAACCTTTCAATATATCAAAAGAATATGAAAATATATGCAATGGTCCACAAGCATGGACCTCCTCACCTCTGCAAATGAATCAGGGATGTGTCTTCTGTCTTAATTCAGGGTTTTAATTGTTCCTTGTAATTTTGCAACATTCAACTTCTATTATTTTGGGTTCTTGTTCTTTCCATTTATATTGTAATTTTAGTTATTGTATATATTATTTTCTTGGTTCTGTTTACTTTGATTTTGCATCGGTTTAAATAAGTCTTTATGTGTTTTTCTATATTCTTCATATTCATTGTTTTTTTATAACAGTAATATCCCATTCCATTCATATACTACAATTTGTTTAGCCATTCCTAAATTGATGGGCATCTACTTTGCTTCCATTTCTTTGCTACCACAAAAAGTGCCACTATAAATATTTTGGTGTATATGGGAACTTTTTTTTTTTTATCAGTGGCCTCCTTAGTGTATATGCCTAGCAATGGAATCTCTGTGTCACATGATATGGACATTTTAGGCATTTTATTTGCATAATTCCAAATTGCTTTTTAAAAAAAAATAACATATAGTTTCTTTATTTTCTAATTCCTGTCACTAAATAAATGGTTATTTATTTATCTGTTTGTTTTGAGTGGGTTAACAATACTTTATCCAAATTGCTTTCCAAAATGGTCATGAAGATTTACAGCTCCACCAACAATGCCCTATTATGCCTATCTACTGTGTCCACAAATCATACAACA